TGTTAACTAAAATACCAACGTGAATGCGAGCTGAATCTCCACAGAGCTTAGTTATGTTTACCAGTTAACCCATTCTTGACTGATTTGATAAATGCAGCCACACTGATGATGTGAGTTTCTAGTGGGACCCAGCTGTCCTGTTCAGGTTTAAAGCAGTGAAAACATGGAGGTGTTCAAAGTTTGTCCCACCTGTAATCAAACATAATGGATTAAACCTGACAAACTGTTGATGCAGAGCTTTTCTCATTATGAACGCAGAAGTTTGGCAGACTAACGAGAAGCAGTCCAGATTTCTTTGCTCCGTCTGTTCTCAGGTTTTTTGCAACTCGGCATGAAGAAGTTCTGCATCTATAAGCTGTGATCCCGTTAATGTGAACGTAGCGTTGACGGCGGATTAATTTGTCGTTGACATAAGTGGAGCTGCGAACAGAATCTAGAAAAAGACAGCGACCGAGTCTGATTCACAGCCGGTCTGAGCGTTTTCAGAAACGCAGGACGTGGAAAGACTTTGGTGTCAAATGAAACAGTTTGGTTTCGCCTCAGTAAAACCCCGAGCCGCCCGGAACGCCTCGGCAGCTTTTCTGATCTCGGCTCCACTCTGACAATGATGTGTGGAAAAGCCCAAACTCTCTTTCAGGTTTTATGTCTGTTGTTTGTGAGAGTTTTTTCTTTCTTTTTTTTAACCTGCTTATTTAGTCTCCAAAATAAAAAACTCTCTGAGAGAACACAGACGACCTCTTCTGCAAATCTCCAGGAGTAAAAAATAGAAAAGGAGGAAGCAGGTTTCCAGTAAATTGGCTGCTTTAGTCGCCCTCATTAAAGCCAAAGACGTTTGTGGGATACGTCGAACAGAGGAACTGTAATTGCAGCGTCTTCATTTAGAAGCTGCAAAAAGGACAGTTTTCAGATTTGTGACGCCTCCTGGGGAACCTCGGTAAATATTCCAGCTTCACTGCATCGCTTTCTGTTTCCAGAGCGAGTCTTTGCCGGAAAAACAGCAGCTTAATAAAACAATCCAGGAGGTTTTTATAGTAGAGGAGCGGCTTCATTCAGCATCACGTGACCTGAACATCGATTTTTGTTTCACGTGACGGCAGGAGATCGTAAAAGAAAGCAGACATGATGTTTCCTGGTCAGTCCGGAGGTTTGATTCTGCTTCTGGTTTGAATCTGATGTTTGCAGACGGCAGTAACTGCACCTCGACATTAAAGTGGTGAATTTATGGGGAATAACCGTGAATATTCTCAGAGATTATAAAGGCATAAACCAGGAGAAGGATTTTTCCTCCTAAAGAATAGTTAAGATTTTTTTTCATATTTTTTCTTTTTAAAAAAAATTAATCCAGTGAATGTGAAATAATTAGGTTTGAAATGAGTCTACAGTTTTAATCTGAGGGTTTTTTCTCATGGTGTCGCCACCCTGTCATGTCTTTGATTAATTTAACCTAAAGGTGCCATCACACTAAAAAAACACGAACCACAGAAAAGCCAGATGAACTTTAAGTCTCATCGTTCAACACAAATCATAGATTTAAATACGTTTTCTTAACACCTTAAAACAACAAACAGGAACAAAGCGTAAAAAAGAAAAGAAAAAAATCCACAAATTTACCTTTTAACTGGAACTAAAAATGGAAAAAAGCTCCAGAAGATGTTAAAGTTAACGCTGCCGTTGTGAGTGACAGTCTGGGAGGAGGTCGGGGTTGATGATCGGGTCAACGAAGCCACAAAACTGCAACCAGCCATTTTGCTCCACAACCAACCGGTGTTCTCTAGCCTTCATCAAGAGGTTTATAGTCTGAACATATTTGTATATTAACTATTAACTCCCACGAATCACCACCCCACCCTGCCTTCATTGTCCTTCCTGTTTTAACCAACGATTTAACCAACTGAAAAAAATAACCATAAAATATGTGGACAAAAATGTCCGTCTCATTGTTCAATGCAAATCCTCTACTTTTGTTTTTGACTCGCTTGTTGCTGCTGTTAGCGCTCGCTAGCTAACGGGAAAAAATAATCACATCAGACACAAGCTTTTAAAACATGTTTCCTAAATACTTAAAAGAAAAGAAAAAATCCACAAATTTGCCTTTTAACTGGGACAAAATAATAGAAATAAAAGAGCTCATGAAGATGTTGAGTTTGATGCTGCCATTGTTAGATCTGGGAGGAGGTCGGGGTTGATGGTCGGGTCAACAAAGCTGCCAGCCAGCGTCGGCTGATTCACAACCATCTAGTGTTTCCTCACCTGCTGGACTCCAACATCTTTAAACATTAAAGCTAAAGGCAGGAGATCAGAAAGTCTACATCAGTGTTTAACTCCTACTTTAACTGTGACTAGAATCACCTTTTAGCTTTGCCTCCTTGCAGAGAAAAATGCGGAAATAAAACACCAAATATTCCAAAAGACAGCCTCTGTCAAGTGAAGTGGGCCGTGACGGTTCAGGAAACGTACGTTAGCGGGAGGAGAGCGACTCGTTTCTCATCATCTCAGGCACTTTACCAACAAAAATATTCCTTTCAAACACGTCTTTTCCTCCCGAGAGCTGCTTTAAAATCACAAAGCGGCGCCGGCAAACGTTACCGGGCCGCCGATCACACGGCGCGACGATTCGCGCGCTTTGATAGGCCGTTAACGAGGACGGCGCTCGGCCTCTCGGCGGAGGCGTAGCGTCTTCCCGCAGGCTGCTAATGAACAAATCCCACCTCGCTCCGCCAGCCGCCGGCCTCTGAAGCCGAGCGCCGAGTTTGCATCTCGGCCCGGTACTAATTAACGGGAGCTCCTCGATCCGCCCGGGCTGAAAATAAAGAAGAAGAAAAAACGCAAACACGGCGCCGGGGAATAAATCTGAGGCCAGGAGGGATCAAGAGAAGGCCGAAAAGAGATGGAAGAAGAAAAACATGGCTGCTGCCTCCGACTCTGTTTGTGTGAAAGGATGCAAAGATGCAAAACAGGCCCGAATAAAGAACCTGATTAAAGAAGGAACAACATTCAACAAACATTTCTATCATATTTACAGCCGTCTGCTTTAACTGTTCATATCTAGAGTGCTGGATCTTCCAGGACAAATGACATCACTTTGACTATTCACACGTTTGTTATCAGATTCTGCAGCTGAACTCAGACGAGACACCAAGTCCAGCTCAGGATGTCGTTCATTTCTCTCAATTTAACATTCATTGGAAACCAGAACGTTACATTCCCTGTAAAGAAAGACGTTATTTTATGATTGTTTTGTCTCCACCTACTATAGCTGTAACTGTACAAAGATGTTCCACCATCAGATGTAGGAAGATGTTCCACCATCA